GAAGTATCTAGACTCTCTTTTACATTATATCTATCCTTCTATTAAATTTCCACTATAGTCCCCTAATAAGGATAGTATGATTCCAACAGTTTCAGGGTAAATAGCAGGTTTTGGTTAACAATAATACATCTACAGCTAAGATGATTTAGATAATCAGAAAGTAGACACAAAGAACTAAGCAAAATTAAAAATATGCTTCAGCCAATAAAGTATATTAGAACATACGGCCAAGAGTCTGTCATTACTTACCCAAGGTCGTCGTCTTAAACTTCAATTTGAGCCCTCGTCCTTGCTTACATGTGTACCGGTTCTGGCCAGTAGATGTCGCTGTCGCTTCAGGAAGAATGTTCTTTCCAGGCAAGGCTGTCCGGGCAATTCTCCGCAGGAAGTATTTTCATGCAATACTGAATCCGTGATATTATTCCTGATAGTTTAATAGAAGAATGGGCTACAAACAAAACCTGATAAGGTTCCTCCCACTATGGTTGGAGTTGATCCTCAGGGTGGGCATCTCTCCAAGTCTTTAAAAGTACCCAATCCCCTGGTTTTATATGGTGTGAGGGGAACATCAGTGAGGTATGACAGTCTATTAGAAGCAAATTTATGAGTAGCATTTAAAATTAATCCCAGTGATTGTACGTACCCGACAGTATCTAACTACTTTACCTTCAGGTCAGTTGCCTGCCCACTCAGTTGCTCAGAATAGAGGAAGGGTCTCCCATATAATATTTCATAAGGTCTCAATTGAAGCTCGTTTTTAGGGACTACTTTAATTCTAAGTAATGCAGTTGGTAATACCTTGTCCCATGTTAAATTGGTCTCTTGGCAAATTTTTGCTACAGTCTTCTTTAAAGTATGGTTCATTTTCTCAGTTTTCCCCATGGATTTAGGTCTCCAAGAGGCATGTGATTTCCATTTTATCCCAAGTTGTTTAGAAGTTTCCCGTCTTATACTGGCAAGAAAAGCACTATGCTGGCAATAAAAGCACTACTGTTGTCACTTTGAATAGAGAAACACCATACAAATCTGGGAATGATTTCTTTGAGCAAAACTTTCACCACTTCAGAAGCTCTTTCAGAATGGCAGGGAAATGCTTCAACCCACCCTGTAAAAGTGTTTTATCCCCAGAACTTAGTGACTCTATTTTATGGTCCCTCCTATCACTTAGGTAACATCCCATTCTGCCCAGCTGCCTCCTTTCACTCCTTTCCTCAATTGCTGGTTGTAAATCCTAACTCCCCAATTGGAGAGTCCTGTTCCCAGAACCTAATTCAGCATTAGCTTGAGGGAACAAGGCCACAGCTCATTTTTATAAATCTTTTTGGGAGGGGCTTCATCTGAATGGGATACCCACTCGGTCTCAAAATTCACCATCGAAGCCATCTCTGGCCGTGGACCTTTCTTTTTTGGGAGTGTTTTGGTTATTGGTCCAATATCCTTACTAGTTCTTTTCAGATTTTCTGTCAGTTCATGATTCAGTCTTGATAGGTTGCATTCATTTCACCTAGTTTATTTGATATATTCATAGTACTCTCATCATCCCTACTTTTTTCTGTAAGGTTAGTAATGTCTGCACTTTCATTTATGATTTTAGTCATTTGAATTTTCTCTTTTTAGGCAATCTAGCTCAAGTCTAGATTTGTTGATCTTTTTGAATAAACAACTCTAAGATTTGTTGATTTTGTCTATTATTTTTCTATTCTCTATTTTATTTTTCTCTGCTGTAATCTTTATTATTTCCTTCCTTCTGCTAGCTTTTGGTTTATTGTTTTCCAAGTATAATATGGAATATCTTCTTTTATCCTTTCACTGTCAACTTATGTGTCCTTAGATCTGAAGTCTTAGATCTCTTGTAGATAACATATAACATATAGTTGGATCCTGTTTGTTTTTTTAAAAAATCTATTCTGCCAATCTGTGTCTTTTCATTGGGGAATTTAGCCCATTAACATTTAATGTAATTACTTACAAGGCAGGACTTACTGTTGTTATTTTGTTAATTGTTTTTTCGATATCTTAAGGCTTTTTTGTCTTTCATCTCCTCCTTTATTGTTTTTCTTGTGTTTAGCTGATTTTTATAAACAAATTTTTATTTTCTTCTCATCTCCTCTTGTGTATTTTTTATAGTTTTTTTTTTTTTGTGTGTGTGTGTGTGTGTGTGTGTGTGTGATTACCATGGGATTACATAAAACGTTCTAAAGTTATAACAATCTATTTTTAACTAACTTCAATTGAATACAAAAACCCTATTCTTTTACGGGTCTGTCCCCCTCCTTTATGTTATCAGTGTCACAAATTACATCTCTATATATTGTGTGCCCATTAACATA